TTAAGGAGCAATTCCTGCGCGACTTATCGCCGATTCCGACGCCAACCACTCCCCAGTCGGGCAGCGCTCGGACGCCCACAACCCCCACATACGGCGGTTCGGGGTATCGGTTCGCAGGGGTCGAGCGCTTAAATCAGAGGCAAAAGATTTATGAGCCGCAGATCCCACTGATCTCTTCACCCGATTCACGTCAAGAGAACTTATCAGTGAGTACTGAATGGCATTTTCATTTGTGACACTTTTACAAGTGATTGCTATTTGTATGCCATATATCTAAGACTTGCTTTTGATTTAACATTTGAATTACAATCGGTTTGCTTATCAGATGTTTGCCGTCTTATACTGTATGCAAGATTTATTGTATAAATAAGAGTCAAATACTTTTTCCATTCATTGCTCTTTTGATTTCATGGTTTTTTGCACGAGTTTTTAAAAACTAATGTAAAGCTAATCCAAACATCAAAATTGTTACTAAAAATACACTGAACTCAACGTTAAGAATATTTTCTTAAACTTTAGTCCTGTGTTTGAATAAAACACGAAAATGTTTTCGTTTCTATCAGTAAAGCGTTTGTATTTTGTAATCACTATAACTTAAAGTCTATAAATGAGAAGAAAATTTTTAACATAAAAGTGTTTTTTAAACCAAACACTTGTATTGTTTTACAATTTTTTTTGTTTCATTTTGTGAAACACTAGTAACAAATGTCACCTCATATTCAATCACTTTCTTTTCACTTCACTTGAGTCTCAATTTCTTAAAGAATTCAATGAATGAAAGCATAAAAGCGTTAAATAGAAATGATTTGTTAGTTTAAAAGGTTTGTAACTAATAATTGGTATATTGTTTTGTCAGCTCAACGCCAAACGTGATTTGTTTTTTCGTGATAACCCGACGACAAACAACTCGATCGTGAACTCCAGTCCCGTTACTAAAGACATCTATTTGTCGAGAGATAGGGATCGCGTCGACAATATGACACATACGGCTCGTGTAGACGATAATAAGCCGGTTCTCGCCAAAGACTCGGATGTCTTCGTCGGCTTCTCTGATCTTCCGAATCAGATCCACAGAAAGACTGTTAAAAAAGGCTTTGAATTTACTTTAATGGTCGTCGGTATGTAATATAGCTTACAATTGCAATGTTTTGTACAGAAGTAGTTTTTCTATATTACGATTGGTTGTAAACGATTGTCAATTGGTTTACAGGAGAGTCAGGTCTCGGAAAGTCTACTTTAGTTAACTCAATGTTTTTGACGGATATCTACTCCGATGAATATCCGGGTCCGTCAAAGAGGGCCTCAAAGACCGTTGAGGTCGAGACCACTAAAGTGTTGCTGAAGGAGAAGACAGTGAATCTTCACCTAACGATTGTCGATACGCCTGGCTTTGGGTGCGCTGTCGACAACACTAACTGTTGGCAACCGATCACTGATTTCATTGAGAACCGATACGAAGAGTATCTGAACGCCGAGACTCGTGTCCATCGGACGCACATTCAGGATAATCGGGTCCATTGCTGCCTATATTTCATACAACCTTCTGGTCATTCACTAAAGCCTCTGGACATTGAGTTTATGCTTCATTTACACGATAAGGTGAACATCATTCCAGTGATCGCCAAAGCAGACACTCTCACACCAGAGGAATGTCTTCAGTTCAAGAAGAATGTAATGAACGAAATCAGTAAACATAAGATCAAAGTCTATGAGTTTCCCGAATGCGATGAAGAAGAAGAGGGAAAGACTCAAAAACAACTGAAGAATCGGATCCCATTCGCTGTCGTCGGCAGTAATTACATAATCGAAGCGAGTGGAGAGCGCAAGAGAGGCCGGAAATATCCCTGGGGTTGTGTCGACAGTGAGTTGCCGTTTATGATCTTTCAATAGATTAAATAAATTGCAAACTAATGAGTGTTTCGTATTGAATGTCAGTCGAGAATATGGATCACTGCGACTTCGTTGCCCTCAGGAATCTACTGATCCGCACATTTATGTTGGATTTGTTGGACACAACGAATAACGTTCACTACGA